GTTCCTCCCTGAATGTCCATTCCTTACTGTGATATCCCATTGATAAAAAGACAAGATAAAATAGCTTTGGTTTATGTCTGCATCATGGACACATGGGCCCTATAATCGATTTTACTGTGTAATGGATATATCCATTAGTCAAAAACATGGCAAAGATATGGAAGAACTAAAAAAAAAAAAAGTGATACAGGAAGGTATACCTCTGGCTGAGATGAAATGTAGAGCTTCTTATCAGTCCAGGCTCCAGTGCCATTTGAATACAGTTTACTGTGCTTCTCAGTAATCTTCCTACTTGCATGAGAGAAATCTTTATTTTAAAAACAAAACATCGCAATGAGTACATGGTAAGTTCCAAATTTCCTCTAGTGGCCACACATGTGGAGATGAGGGTTATGCTCCTTATTTTCCCCAAACAGTATGAGAACAGGAAAGATGAGAGATTCACACACATTTGCATATGGCAGCAGGTTAGTGACATAGAACTCGTGTTCCTTTCCCAGCTCCCTTCCCAAGAAACAGTCTCCTCCACTGGGGAAAAATGTAAATGCTTTTTCCAATAAGATGATGACATTTCTTTGAGACGTATCATAAAGAGATCATGACTAGGGCCAGGGATTTAGCTCAGTGGTTTCGCCACCTGCTGCTCAAGTGCAAGGACCTGAGTTCGATCCCCGGTACTAAAAAAAAAAAAAAAAGAGAGAACATGACTGGACAGATTGCAGGGGTGTTTTAAAGGGATTTCTCAAGAATAAAAGGATACAAGTGATCATGACTGATTTTGGTGTGGGGAATGTGTAACATTTTACCCATAAATTTATTAGAAATAAGAGAAATACCTCACACCAACATATTTTCCATAGTTTTCCACTTTTGTTACAGAGAGGCACAAGAATTTTGAAGACAGACATAATAATAAACTTTGAGGTTAAGTGAAGGTTCTCCTTGTAATGGTTTGCATTAGTTAAAGTAAATTTAGAGCCTTGTGTATGTAGCCCATACTCAAGGAAAATAGGTTTGGCTTGTATAAACTTACATAAGTTTTAGGTAATTTTTTAAAGAAAATTCTGGATTCATAACTCAATTCTCACCTCAAAAGTGTAATAGGAAAACTGATGCATGAAATTCATAACAGATTCCTTTTAGGACAGTTTAGCAAGAGAAAGGAATTGTAGAGAGATACCAACAATTCAAATTTTGTAGGTAATGGTTCAGGTCTCTAAAAATATTAGTTGTGATGCAAACATTATTAAATAGTTATAGGCTAATATGTGGAGAGCTCATATGAAAGGAGCATTTTGTGAATTCCAACAAATATTCTAAGACAACAGTTCTTAACTCTTATATAAGGAAGGATTTAAAAAACTCAAAATAGTGCAAATGTGACTAAATTTATTGGTCTGAGTCTAGAGTGTCTGAATATTTTAAAATATCTATAATCTATCATCTATTTCTCTTTCTGTCTATCTACAATTAGGTGATAATCACCAGTGATGTAAATTATTTTTTAAAAACTTTCATACAGAAACCATATGTTAGGTGATTGTTGTACTCATTTTACAGGTGAGGGAGAATTAGATTATTTACAGCTGGATTTACACCATTTCATGTTCTTATTTTATATATGAATTTTCACGTGTGACATTATTTCATATACTTCTACTTTGCATTTTTCTCAAATAAATTATGGTGTGGCCTGACCAAACAAATGTGGAAATTCCAGTAGCTAAAATAAGAGAAATGCTAATCATGTACCAGAAAATATTGCTGTGGAAATTCTCTCAATAAGAATTAAAAGCCTTGAAATCAGCCTGGGCTTTGGGACTTT